GGGATGGAACCAGCAACCTGGGCAAGTGCCCTGACCGGAAATCCAACCCTGACCTCCTGGTTTCTAGGTCGACATTCAGTCACTGAGCCATGCTGGCTGGGCCAGCTTTAGCTTTTTAGTTTTTTTTGTGTGTGTGTTTTTTTAAAATATATTCCACTGATTCCCTACAGAGAAGAAGGGAGAGGAATAGAGAGTCAAACATCAATGAGAGAGAAACATCGATCAGCTGTCTCCTGCACACCCCCCACTGGGGATGTGCCCGCAATCAAGGCACATGCCCTTGATGGGACCCTTCAGTCCGCAGGCCGATGCTCTATCCACTGAGCCAAACTGGTCAGGGCAGCTTTTTAGTTTTATTACTAGAGGCCCGACGCACGAAATTCTTGCGAGGGTAGGCCTTCCTTCCCTCACTGCTGGCTTCGCAGCCCTGGCCCCGCCCTCCGCTTCATCCGCCTTGGTCTGGTGCTGCCTGCATCCACCACCACATACCCCTGGCTCCCTGGTTCCATGGAGCCCCGTGATCAGTCACCCCGCAGAGGGTGCCTGGGCCTCCCTCTTTGGGATGATTGTGGAGCCCCCCTTCTCCCTCCCCCCCCCCCCCGATTGATCGCCCTGCCGGCCAGTTACCCGGGCCTTCCTCTGAGGGGTGATCGTGGGGCCCCACACCAATCGCATGGCACCCGCCCTGGCTGGCCTGGCACCAGTGCGTGTCATAGCGTGGTCGTCCAGAAGGTTGTTCTGCTGTTCAGTTGTTTGGTCAATTTGCATATTATGCTTTTATTATTATAGATTGTTATTTAATGTTAAGAATACTGATACCTTGAAAAGTGGCCTTTGAGAGCATTTTCTGTGGGCTTGACTTGGGGTGAATGAAGCACACAGGATGTTTCCCAGCTTTTTCATTTCCAGTAAGGGGGTACTTGAAGAAGCTGATGATGACTCTGCCTTCCTTGGGCAAAGCATACAGGCAGTCACCAAAAATCATTTTAGCAGTTGGAAAATAGAGAGTAATTTGTGATTAAACAACCAATCTGCCTGGTGGTTGATGCATCTTATTTCCATAATTTTGAAGTTCACTGAAATAATTTGAACTCATTTCTTCTGGGGACCCATATTTATCCTGAATGTAACCAGCCGCGTTATAAAGAAATTACTTAAGCAAATGTTACAGGAAAGTCTAAACACAAACACATCTATATCTCCAAAGATGTTTAATCATTTTTTAAAAATAAAGTCTACATGGGGGTACGTTCTCTCTTCCCGCGACCAGCGCCAAAAGAGAAATGAACTGGTTCTTTGAGTAGAGGCACTTGGGATTGAGAAAAGAATCAAAGAGACAAGACACAAAAATAGAAGATGCTGGGACTGGGTGGGCTTCTGCCCTCTGATGGAGGGACAGACGGGACCGAGCACCGGAATCACGTGTTTAATTTATACCCAAATACCAGGAAGTTACATCAGTTCTGGGCGGGCCCGGCTGGTGGGAGTGATGAGCAGTTGTGGTTCTACCTCAGGGCCCTTCCCACAGGGCGGGGCCAGTCAGAGGGAGGAGAGTCCTATTCATTCCTGGTGCTTGGCTGGATTTACATATCAAAACCCACTCCCTGGTGCCTGGGCTTTGAAGAGTCGAACTGAGGCATTCTCACCTCTTGGTTAGATAGGCCCCCAAGACAAGACTGTGCCTACATCTTGGGTTCAGTCAACATGAACTTAAAAGAAAGCCCATGGCGCCTTCCCTGGCAGGGGGCCCTCCACAAGTCTAGGTGATTTTTTAAAAACTACCATTTTTATTAGCTACTAGAGGCCTGGTGCATGAAATTTGTACAAGGGTAGGGTCCCTAGACCTGGCTGGTGATCAGGGCCGATCTGTGGGGTGACCGGCGGTGCGATTGGGGGGCTCCCGCTGGCACCCACCTTGGCCGACCTGGTGCCGCCCGCTCACCAGCCCCATCCCCTGCTGCTGCCCCTTGTTGCCTACCTCTGCAGGGCGATCAGGGGGCCCCCACTGGCACCCGCCTTGGCTGTCCTGGAGCCTGCGGGCTGGGAGCAGCTCCTGCATTGAGCATCTGCCCCCTCGTGGTCAGTGCACATCATAGCCGCCAGTTGTTTGGTCATTCCACTGGTTGTTCTGCCATTTGGTCAATTTGCATATTAGGCTTTTATTATATACTAGAGGCCCGATGCACAAAAATTCATGCAACAGTAGGCCTTCCTTCCCTGACTGCCAGCACCGGCTTCGCTCCTGCCACAGGCAGTCCCCCAGGTCCCTGGCTTTGCTCTGGCTGCTGGCAGGCACCCGGGACCTGGGCTGCTTCCCTCTGCCCCCAGCTACATCTGGTCTAATTAGCATATTACACTTTTATTATTATGGAGGATAATTTATAAGAAATGGCATCTCTTCATTGTTTCTTAGACAGGGGCACATGCTGAAATTTGGCTGGCAGGCCATGTTTTCATTAAATACTCATTTCATAGCCATACCCAGGCCCATAAAGCTTAGTATTGTTGGAGCGCAAAGCCATAGAAGTGCACTTGGCCATAGGTTGGAACAGCTTTTACAGTTAATTAACCAGGAGTTGGTAGGAAAGCATTTATTTTATTTTAATGTAATTAAAAAAATACTATGTTATTTCATTTCCTTACATTTTGTATGTAATGGTTTGGTCATCAACATTCTTAAATATAAATATTGGCTCTGAGGGGCAAATTACAGTGAGGATGCAATCTTAATCTCTTTCTCTAAATTAGCTTTGGAAATTGTGGAAACCTTTATGCAAGGAAATTGTCATGGTTCCTGACTTACGTGAATGTTGATCTCTTTCTTTTGAGACTTCTTCAGGGAAAACACTAATTACTGTATTTTTCTTGCTTACTCTGCAGTAATGACATAATTGACACTGTTTTATTAAAAGTTTATCATGTCTGCTTTTTAAACTTGCTGTCCTTCCTTATCTGTCAATAAATTTCTTTGCTTTAATGATAGCAAGATGTGCTATAGACTGGCATAATATATATTAAGATCTTTACAGGGAGTACGGAGCATTCTGTAATTCAGGCTATTTAATATCACATTTGTTTAATTGCATAAGTATTGTTTGCTTGCTGGAAGAAAATGAGAATATACAGAGAAAGAAAAAAAAAATATGACAGCACCTGATAATGTCTGTTAACATTATGGTTTATTGCAGAAGTGAAATAAAAAATATTTAACAGCCAGTATGGCACAGGCATCAACTAGTCAGAATAGACTCCGGCCTTACACAACACGCGCCTCCTGGTTACCACTGGTCTCGGGTTGTATTCGCATCTGAATGGTTTCCCATACCTACATAGATAAGCTGTATGTTTTAAGAAATGAGCTTGCTTACCTTTGCCCCTCAAAAGTACCTGGAATGTTTCATAGACAGATTCTACCAACTTAAATCTACAAATAAGAAGTAGAAGTTGAGGCCACAAAATTGAAAAATAAAATTATTTGCTTATGAATTTACTTTTGACTTGGCTTGTTAAACATAATGGTGGAAGATTTTTGTTTAGTAAATGTAAAGTGATACGTACATCTTTTTAAAAGCAGAGCACATCTTAGGAAAAGGGTAGCCTTACAGAGTACCTTTGTCCTGCCCGTTCCCAGAGGGCTTTCCCCATGGAAGTCAGTGAGGGTCCGCTTCTCATCTTGCCACTGATTCAGTTGCAGGGAAGAGAGAAAAAGAATTCAGAAGTCTCTCACATTTATACAGTTGCTCAAAAATAATTTATGTGAGGCATGTTGATGCCATCAATAACAACAAAATGTGAAATTGGGTTCCATGAAAGAAGCAGGTTTTAAACAGTTTAAGTATTGCTCTCAAGCTGCACATGATTACAAATTAAGAGATACACAATATCATTAGCATCCTGGATTTAGATGATTAACCTCTTACAACATTAAAACATAGAAATGTATAATTAAGGTGTGCCTTCATGAATGCGTTAGATCACTTTGTGTCAGTTGTTATTTTGGTGATAAGTGAACACAGCATCATAGTTCCCTTGTCTGTAAAACGAGAAGTTTAGATTAAAATATATCCAAGATTCCTCCCAGCTTGCTGATTTCGTAATTGTATATTAATAACACCTATAATGAGCTAGTAGTATTTGAGTATTTGGTTTACACTTTAAATTTTCAAAAGCTTTCCAGAACTTTCCATGTAATAATTTCAGAAAATTCACCAATCTTAGGAGGGGCTTCATGGATGCTGAATGGTACAGACGGGAAAAGGCAGTAGGGAAAGATGCTTGAGTTATAATTTGCTGAACCAGGGGAAGGTTACTCCAGGATTCTAGAAACCCAAATTTGTCACAGCTTCTGAAGGTGGGCCGAGAAGTAGGGGGAGACAGGAGGACGGGGATGTTGTTGCTGCTCATTGCCTGGGAGGCAGGACCTGCTAGATCCGTGGTCGGCAAACTGCGGCTCGCGAGCCACATGCGGCTCTTTGGCCTCTTGAGTGTGGCTCTTCCTAAGCCTTAGGAGTACCCTGATTAAGTTAATAACAATGTACCTACCTATATAGTTTAAGTTTAAAAAACTTGGCTCTCAAAAGAAATTTCAATCGTTGTACTGTTGATATTTGGTTCTGTTGACTAATGAGTTTGCCGACCACTCTAGATCATGGCTGTGACCCAGTGAAGATTATTTTCCTGTCCTATTTTCACACACCATCACAGTGTGGTGCAAACTGTGCACTTGGATGTTTTGATTGTATCTCCACTGTTTTTACTGTGATCTACAGGGAAACATTTAATTTGGTGTGTTGTTTATTTGTGGTCTTATTTTTGTAGCTGGTGCTATAGTTTACTGAAAACCTTCCAAGATTAGAGGCTACATGAGAAGGAGCGTCAACATGAGCCAGCATACCCGGTCCAGCCCTCTGTCCACCCCACACTAGCCGGTGATGAATAATTGTCTTTTATATTTCACCAAGTCACGGGCAGATCTGACATTTTAACTATGGTATGCTAAAAATACGGTTTTCTGTCAATTTAGGAAGAATCACCCAAAGCCATTTTTGGGTTGTTAAATGCGTTTTATTAGTCTTGACTAGTTGTGACTCCCAGTTCTAAGTGGTTGTGAAGAGGGCTTGATCTTGCAAATCCTTCTGACCCAGGTCTCTCTGTGACAATCTTGACGTTATTGCATGTCTTCTTATGACCGGGATACCATCAATTTGAGTGTGCACGTTGTGCACAAATACATATGCACACATCCTGTAGACAGAGATGACAAAAGATGTAGATTTCCAATTATTGTGCCTTTCCTGGCTTTCTCACACACTGCCACCGTAATCATTTCAGATCCTGGTGCTCTCCAAACCACATTTACCTAAGGCAGCGAAGGCCATTTATTTTCATATCTGTCTGTTGGTACCTTGGAAGGGCTAATGTTTTTTATTTATTTGATTGTTACTACTCTTAATCATTACAAAAATCTTATTACTGCCCATATATAAATCAGGAAAAACAAATTTGATTTTTAGCATTCTAATGTGGTTAAAAAATTCATGAATAAAAGAAACTTCTTATGCAAATGTAAGCTACTGACAGAGAATAAATATGGGTATAAACGCTTGCTATTATAATAATCTTTTGACCTCAGCCATCCTTTATATAGCCCAAGTAATGACTGTTTGATGTTTATTATAAAGCATATTAAGTCCCGTGATTAACTGAACCTTTCATATCTCTTTTTTTGTTTCATGTAGCAATGAAAATAGATTGTTCTATTATCATTCTTGCCAGGAAATTTATAAAAAATATAAAATTATTCATAAATGTATTTTAAACTGGAGAAATATTAATGTATTATTGGGTGTACTGAGCAGAAAACATTTCTTTTCACATTTGAATGGCAGGCACATTATTATAAATTTACTTCCTACTGAATATTAATCATCAACTCCAAATGGCTGGTGGCTAAAGCTTTGAGAGGCAGCCAAGAGATGTAAATTCTTACCCTCATCATGGACTTTTGATGTGATTTTGATTAATAGTTAAAATTGAGTGACCTCCGATTTAAAAGAAAAAAAAGAAAATCATATTCCTGAGAAATCCAAGGGCAGGATGGTCTCAAGATGGGCTATCATCCCTTCTGCTCCCCTCTTGGCTACTGTGATCTGGGCTCTCTTGTTCCTCCTCCTGCATATGACTTCCTTCTTGGTCCCTTGCTTCCTCTGCTCGACTTAAAACCCTGGTGTACTTAGCGTGCCAACCTCAGTCCACTTTTGTTCTCACTCCACTGTGCACATATTCTGAGGACATTCTCACTCATACTTACAGTTTATAGGCGCTTGCCTGTCCTTGGACTTCAGCTGCCTCTCCAGGCCCCCTCTACCAGGACAACTCCCCTCTGTACCCCCTTTGCTCTCATTCACCTCGTCACCCTCCTTCCACTTGTCCTGTGACCTCTTTAGTCTGGTTCAGCACTGATTTCCTTGCACTCAGCAAGCCCCTAGCATGGAGTAGGCACTTGGAATGTGTCTGCTGATTTAATGCACACAGTTGAACTCATTATTCTCCCCACTCCCAACCCTAACACACACTCTCTCTCTCTCTCTCTCTCCCCCTCTGAACAGTGCATCTATTTCCTGTGTTGTGTCTCAATGAATGACACCCACCATCCAGTCTCCCCTACCTCCTCTCTTGTCCAGCACCCCCCTGCTTCTTCTTTTGCTCCATCCAGTCTTTTAAAGTCTGTCTTCTGTGTGCTCTGAGTCCAGTTTTTCCCCTTCACTCAACGTACCACTGCCTTGGTCCTAGGCTTTCGTGTATCTCACCTGGATTGTGGCCAGATACTTCAGCCTTCCAATCTGGTTTTCTCAGATCCATTCTTCATACTGTTGCCAGACTAATCTGTCCAAAGTATATATCTGAACATGTACCCTCCTAAGGTTACAAGAAAACTGCAAACATTACTAGGACTACAAAAAGATCCAAATAAACGCCAGGGGTTTTCTGTGCTCCCTATGTGGGAAGACAGTACAGTGAGGTGTTCATACTTTCCGGGTTTATGTTTCTGCTTTATTACAAGGCTAATCAAGAGCACAAAGCAGTTTCCTGAGAAAATTGGATAAAATGATTCACTCGTCTTATAAATTAAATGAGTGAGAATAAATGAAACTTGAAATGTAAGTGTATAGTCTTTGCAGTAAGAAAACTTGGTGTTAAATCTCAGCTCAGCTACACATTAGCTGTGTGGACTTGCATAGTAGTACTAACCCCCACCCCCTCCCTATGTCTGTCTCTTTAAAATAGGATTACAATAGGAACTTTTCTTAAGAATTTTTGTGAGGATTAAATAACATGACAGAATGCCTGTGGTGTATTTAGCACAATGTCTGATACCTAGTAAATGCTTAATAAATATTAGCAGAATTAAAAGAACATGAAAATCATACGCACAAACACGTTTATCTAACACAGAGATGAAAGAATAGTAATAGTGGTTGTCTCTATATGGCAGAGTTATAATTTTCCTCACTTGTGTCTTCATTCTCTACAATTATCATTTGTTACTTTTAAGTAGAAAAAAAATCTTTCAATGACTTCCCACCTTTACACAATAAATTCCAGCTCCCTTAGACTTCATTCAGTGTCCTCCTTAACCTCACCTCTCCTTACAGCTGCTTTCTGCCTACCTCTTTAGTCATCACGAATCCTGAGTTACTTTATTCCTTGCTCACATTCCTTCCTGTTTGCAAGCCTTGCTGCCTCCTCTGCCCAGCATGGCCACTCCTAACTTTGATTTATTGTTGCTCCTCTGTCTAAATTTAGCTTAAAAATCACTCATCCCATCAGGCTCAGCATTTGGATTTTCTGTGTTTAAATTATCTGGTTTTGTGTCTGTCTCCCTCTACAGAATGTTTTTCTCCAGAATGAGGACTTTACCAGAACCTGAAATACAAGATAACTAAGTTAGAGTCCCTGCCCTCAGGTTGCGTGTAGCAGAAGGAGAAAGGCATGTAAATGCATGAAGGTGATAAATGCTATAGGATCTCTGACACCAGCACCTGTAGAGCATAGTAGGGCAGAATCAAGGGTTCACTTAGTTTCTATGGGAGGGTGGGGAGTTAGGGTGCAGAAGGTTTTCATTCAAGAGGTGAGACACTGCTGAATAGATGTTTCCTGGGCAGAAGACTCGGGGACAGTGTTCCAAGCAGCGTGTGGGAAAATGTTCCAGCATTCAGTATGGCGATGAGTTGAGTTTGAGGTGGGGTCTTCATGCTGCTTGGCACATAGACGCTCAGACCAAGGTGAACAGGGTTCCTGCTCCTCCTGGTAGCTGTCTTTGTGCCTCTGGGGTTTGTGCATCCCCAGAAGTTATGTACAATACCTTATGTTTATGTGCTTCCGAGAGGTTTTCTAGGAGAGGATCCTGAATTCCACCCGATTGTCCCGAAGTGTTGCATGGCCTATGAAAGATTAAAACCACTCTTGACAGAGTGGGTGAGGTGAGGGGTGAAGGCTAGAAAAGAATTTGAAGGTAAACTGTCCCAGCTGCAGCGGGTGGGGTGCACCTGGGCATCCACAGGGCATTTACCTGCTGGAGCCACTAAGGGCCTGGTCACAAAGGGCAATTCTGTTCATGGTTCCAGCCGGCATCTTCTAGCTCCTTTCAGCAAGCAGGCTCAGTCCTGCATCTTTTGTTTGCTCCAGCTAAGCCAGGTCAGCGTCCTTTCCCTGGTAGTCAAAGCAGCTCTCCAGGTGGGAAACATTGCGGGGTTGAAAGACTCGGGAGAGAATGGAAGCACCATATGTTTTCTTCTGAAACTAAATTGAGGAGGTGAATATGTGAGGAGAAGAAAGCAAACATAGTAACCAAAGCAGGTCAGTGGCAATGCTGTTCAATAGGCTGCATTAAAAGATAGAAACAGCATCAACGCCCCCCTCCTCACACCCCCCCACCCTCCGCCCAACTGTGTAGGTCAGCTCATTCATTCCTCAGCCGCTGATGAAGAGATATGTGGATTATCTAACTCCCAGAGTCCTGCCCAGGCAGATCTTCTGCCCTGCTATGCTGCTGTAGTAATACCCCATACAGACCTTTGTTCTAGAACACATACCGCTGTGGTGTAGCTGTGGATATCCTTTTCTTCCCAAGGCAAGACTGGCTTCTTTTTGCATGTCCAGCCTTTAGCGCCGGGCTCAGTTCATGTTTTTCAAAAGAATGAACTCCAGCTTTCTAGCCTGAAGATACTGGAATTCTTAGTTTAACATGAACAAAGGAAACCCCAAACTGCTGAAAATTTCCATTATCCTTTGCCCAGCGAGGCACTCAAGTGGAAGAGCTAATCAAGGAAGGGAGAGATCTGCAAAGATAAGGGCTGCTCTTTTGGAGGGATTTGGCAGGATGTGGAATCTGATGACAGACACTCAGCTTGCTAAACAAATGTTGATAACCACAAGGCAAGGCAAAGGACAAAGGTTGTCGGAGCAGAGGTGAAGGGCACTGTTGGTCACACTGGGATCTGGCGTCTGGCTCAGAGGCACCCCCACCCCCCCTCCTCCCCAGCTGCCACCCAAAGGCATGTAACCTTCAGAACCATAACGGTTAGTTTATTTTCCAGAGCTGTCCTCTGGGATGCTCAGCTCTGTTCGAGGGAGGCAGAGGATCCCAGCTGACAGTGCGGGGTGAGCGTGCAGAGGGCTCAGAGGAACCACTAGCGTAAAGATTCAAAAGTGGGAGAATGTTGAAGAAGAGACTGAAGGGTGGCTTCATGATCTCAGGTCTCAGGGATTTGAAAGTCACAGAGAATAGTGATTAGTCTTTTCCAGTTACTGGAGCACAAAGAACAAGAAAATTGTTTTGAACTGGATCATAAAGGCTTCTGAGTTGGATGGGGCGAATGAGAAGATTGCTGAAACGATCTTCCTATACTCCTGTCATGTTAACTCTATTAGTTACAGATAGTTGGTCACTTTTAGCATTCAAGTCACTCCGACACTATTGTTTTCCCAGACTAGACACTCGATCTGGAGCAGGAAAGGGAAGGGAACTCGTGACACGGATTGAGCACCTGCTACCAGCAGGCTCTGGGTTTTCCTGCCTCCCTGAGTTGAAAACATCATCCCATTCAATACCCAAGGGGTAGGTGTGATGATCCCCATTTATTTGTGGGGAACCAGGCCAGGAGCCCTCAGGATGGCAATCATAGGTGGCAATCCTGGGTCTGTATTATGTGTTCCTTCAGTGCTGAATCTGTGTGACTCCAAAGTTCTGGCTTCTAATTTATCTGTAAATGGGATGAATTTAGTGTTTACAGAGGCTGTTTGGATGTCTTCCTCTCTGTGAGGCATTTCAGACGGGCCCATCCCAGGTCCTGAGAGCCTTTCCCTCTAGAACAAGTGCACTTTTGATCCAGTTTGGCACTTGTATGTCCAAAACAACCACCTATTATCTCTCGGTCTGGATACAACATACTTATAAAGCAGCAAATCTGTAAGGCATGCTCTCTGGCATAGCAAAAAGAAAAAGAAGAAAAATACATTCCAATATAATAAAGATAAAATTTGAACTCCCACAGCATGCCTTTGGACTGTGCACAGGGAAGGCAAGCACAGATGTGTGCCATATACATGCACATCAGGATCATAGCAACGTGAACAGTCCACATCCAGGTTAAACCTGCTGGTGGCCAGACCTTCCTGTCCCTGATGTCTGCTGTGCCTCATCTGTTTCTGATTATAAGTATTATATGCTAGCCATTGTGGATATTTTGGAAAATACAGAAAATTGCAGCTAAAACAAAATTTACCTCTAATGCTACTGCCCAAACATAAAACAAACATGAATACTTTAGCGTGCTTCTTTACAGCTTTTTAAAAACACAGATGTAATTTAATATAGTTTAGACATACAGTTTCCTGCCTTTTCACTTACCTTGCCTCATAAGCATTGTGGTAAAATACACGTAACACAAAATTGACCATTTTACCCATTTTCAGATGTACATTTCAGTGACATTGAGTACATTATTCACAGTGTTGTACAACTATCACCACTATCCATCTCCAGAACTGTTTCATCATCCACATTCCCTGTACTTAAAATAGTTAAGTTAAAAATGCTTCACAGACCACATTTAATAGTGGTGTAATACTTCACCGTATAGTATTTACTTGAAAGCATTTCTCACAAACATTCAACAGGTACCTTATTTTGTGATCCCTGCAAGGTAGGTTTTATGGCTCAGGCAGTGAACAAAACATGGTTTTTGCCTTCTGGGACCTTAAATCTGGTGGAGGAAATGGCCATCAGCAGGCAGTTTGAGTCCTGGAGAGCATGTAGTAGGAGAACCTTGCAGTATAATTTCCATGATCATTTATTGATTATTGCGCATCTCGTGTGTAGCAGATTTTTTTCCTTTTATAAATAATGCGAGATATTTGTAGTTATAAATATCTGTTCACATTTCAGATTATTTTATGAAGATGGCAAAAAAAGGTGTCATTACTGGGCTACTCGTTGTACAGGGGCAGTCGGGGTGTGCTTTTGGAATGCCGGTTATCGCTACCCATGGTGCCATTCTCAAGATGAGGAACTGCTGCCCCCAAACATTTTCTTTGCCTTTTATACCTGATGAGCTCTACTAACCTCTTTTTATAAATGTGTATCTGATTTGCATTGAGCAGGATTGTGGGAAGAGCAAGGGAGGGAAGAGATAAGGGATCCTGGCTGAGGCGGACACTATGTCACAAGTATCCTGCCAACTGCCCAGCTGTTTGTACATTTCCAGGCTCTGGTTTGACCCCTGCTTTAGGGCTGTGCTCCAAGTGCATGCAGACTGAGGACTGAGCGTGGCTCCCTTCTGTGAAATTCCAGGCGTGGGAACTCGAGGCCCATTGTGAACTAAAAGTAGCCTCAAAAAAAAAAATATATGTTTATCATTTAAACAGAAACTCCATCTGTTATCAGAGCAGGAAGAGACCTCTGAGTGTCACACAATCTCCTCTGTTCAGATGGAGACTCTGAGGCTTACAAAGCTAAGAAATATTCTGAAGGAAACCGGTTGGATAAACATCAAAGAGGGATTAAAACTCAGGTCTCTTGATTTATCAGGTGGTCACCCCATGACCTGCCCGAGGTTGTCTTGGCCTTTGTTCTTCTGTTTACAGGAATTCATTTCTTCTTTTCACTTTTAAATCCCTGATTTTATTCGCTGCTGTTTGGTTCCATGATGGTACTCATTTTCAGTATTGAACACCATGCTTGTGTGCTGGGGTCCAACCCCAGCAGGTCCAGGGGTCCCCAAAGGTGTGGACGGAGTCGGCAAAGAAGGAATGACATGGAGGCAGCGTTCAGTTGATCAGCAGCCTAGCCAGGATCTCCAGCCAGGATCTCCAGCCAAGTTCTGGTCTGGATCTCCAGAGAGGTTCTGCTTCAGATCTCCAGCCAGGTTCTGTGTCCATGTTCTCTTGCTAGGTTCTCCAGCCAGGTTCAGTCCAGGTTCTCCAGCCAGGTTCAGTCACCAGGTTCTAGTCAGGTTCTCTTGCCCATTTCTGTAGTCAGGTTCAGTCCAGGATCTTTTGCCATGTTCTCTCCAGCGAAGTTCTTCTGTCTCTAGTTCTGTGTAGGTTCTGTGCCTAGGTTCCGTCTCTCCTGGTTCTGTGTTCTGAGTTCTGTGTTCTAAGTTCTGTGTTCTAAGTTCTGACTCTTGCTGTCTAGTTACAACTGTATTTATACCAGTTGATTCAATCCTATCAATCTCTATTACAAAGGTTAGGGCGTTTCTTATCTCCATTATGTAGCTTAAGCATGATTGTTCATAGTTAAAGTGATTAATTACCCGCCTGGCACTTAGTTAAGAGGTTTTATTCCCTCCCTAACTTCAGGGGAAAATCCCTACCTGGGGAAACAACCTTTCTCAGAGACCTTGGTTAAAACACATAGTGCCAAGAAGGTGAGCAAACATATTAAAAACAGTATGCCATATATGCCAGGTCCCTTGAAACAGCAAGCATGGACTGGCTCCCGGCACTTGTGCTGGCTAATGTCTGTGTCAGCCATCATCAGGTTATGCCAGTGTGTTGCATGCCTATTCCATGTTTGTCCTGAGCCTACTAATTTGTTTGACTTCTGACTGCTCTCTTTATCTTGGCCCCATTGGTGACTGGAAAGTTTCTGTTGACTGTGGCCAAAGTAATCAGTAATGTCTTATTTTGCTTTCTTTGCTCTCTTCTTGTTAGTCCCTTTGGGTAATTTTGTTGGGTTTTGTATTTTTTTAAAATTAATTTTTACAGGTAAGACACCCTCCAGTGATACAGTAAATGTGAAAACCTGGTCCAGGGCCAAAGAGGAAACAGTTTTTAAATAGATCATTGGTGTTGAGAATAGGAATATCAGCATAGATTTCTGATGTATTCATTTCGTGATAGCGGGTAGATAATGGTTAGTTGGTAAAGCTTTACCGTGGATACATGTGACTATCTTTATGTTAACGTGCCTAAACTATTTTTATGTGTAGTCAATCTTCTAAGATCAAATTTACAAAAAGAAAAAAGTTAGCATTGTTTTGTGTTAGACAAAGTGCCATTATCTTCAGTAGAACTTTATGTCTACATAATGACTCTAAATATAGGACCATAGACCCCTGATAATAATTAGAAAAGTAACTTAAAAAGCAGAGCACCAAATTTGGTCTGAGGCTGTCAACCCCAATAGGAAGTGGTTGTTATGCAGTTGAAAAATCCTATAGCTTAGTTTCTATACAATTTCTGATCATCAGAATCTCAAAATAATTCAGATCCTTTCATTTATGAGAGAAAGGAACAATTTCTCATTTATCTTGAGTCTTTTATGTTCATAATTTCATCCTTAATGAAAAAGGCAGTGGCATTTTCATTGTGAAGATAGTTTTCCTGAATTTATACCTGAGTCTGCTATTGCAGTGTTTCAAAACCAATTGGCATTAGCCTGGATAGTTATTTTTATACAAAAGCAACTTAAAATTTGATTTTGGAGTGTCTTAATTTTAAAGATCATTTCAGACATCTGTTCCTCCTGTGTTGGGTCTACTGAATGGAAGTATTAACCAAAGATCTAAGGAATAGATATAGCAAACTCCACTTCCCAGAAAGATGGGTAGCCACTGCCATTCCGTATTCAGAGGACTTGAAAGCCCAAAGAGACACACCCTGGCTATCATCATGACAGTTATGTTTTTTAAGTGCCCAGCAGGCTATGTGTTATGTTCCATTTGGTATTCATAACAGCCTTGTTAAGAGAGGCTAGGGCAGGGGTGGGCAAACTTTTTGACTGGAGGGCCAC